ATACCCCTCAAGAAGCCAAAATTATGCCAGTCTAAATTCCACCCTCTTGTTATACCTCTCCTTATCAATTAGCACCAGTGGATGCTCAATGGCTGCTCTGCTGTTACAGTTTAGTTGATATTTTGCAGAATACAATTTAGAATAATTGCACTCCACAGGGCCCAACCGGGCAGGAAAAGAAAAGTAAAAAATCAGTACATTAAAATGTTTCTTTCATGCCAGCTTAGCATAATCTGCATTGGAAGAGGCACAGGAGAATAAGCTTCCAGTCTAACTCACCATGATCAAAACATACTCACCATCCCAATGCCTTCTCTCTCAAACCATCAGCTAAAGCACCCAGCTGGGAAAGAAAGATATAAATGTCGCATCTAAAAGGCATTCAAGGGGGGCAATGGCACTTGGATTAGCACACGAGGATGGCAACAGTGTCCCAGAGTCCTTGCTGCTTTCCTCCCACCCTCTCTCAGACATAACATGATGGAGGTGGAGGGGGTTGGACTATATGACCTCTAGGGGTCCCTTCCAACCCAAAACATTCTATGATTCTATGAGATGGGGAGGCCATTTCAAACCTGTTTTAGCCTGCTTGTGGCATCTAAGCATGCAAGAGCATCAACATTTAGAAGCCTGAAGTCCCCATACAGCTGATAAACTGAGCAGAGAAACTTCCAGAGAAAAAGGTCTGTATACCAAAGTCTGATGGCAGGCCTTGGAGAGGCCTCAGCATCGGCTCTTTTTGATGGATACTGGCAATAACCACACTGTCTAAAGATGTATTTACTGGCCCCACTTGACGTTTTACAGCAAAAGCTGCACTTTTATTCTTCTTTAAGGGGTCAAACCTTCAAAATCTAATCACAAGGGGGAAAAGATAGCGATAAAAGCCCTGTAGTTACCTTGCTAGAAAATTACATATCAGACTAAAATGCATTGTGCAACACATTTTCAAAAAACACTGTAGAGAAGGTTTCTTCTCCACTGATGCATCTTCAGTTACTCAAGCCTATGTGGAAAAATACTCTAGAAACATCAGCTCTGCTCTGTCTATTCACTAAGGGCAGGAGTTTATGAATCAGTGTTAAAATTGTGGCTATTTTCTCCTAAAAATTAGCCTTGAAAAAACCATTCATGCACCTCCAATACCATAAACATACATACAAAAGGGAGGCTTCAGCCTAATCCCTGGCTTTCTGTCTTTTTGTTCAGCCTGGTAACACACAGTACGTGACAACGCGCAATTATGGGCAATTAATTCAAATATCTGGGAAACAAGAAATCACATCTGCAGTTAATCATCTTGTGCTTTTTCCAAACCATAAATCATTTCTGTAAAGGAAGAGAACAAAGATATAAGAGATATAATTAAATGTGACATTTTCCACAAATCAAATGCTTCCTACAAATGTGCCAATAACATCACAGAAGAGCAAAACTCTCCAAATAGCCCTAGTGTTTACATGATGCTCATCATCTCTCTGAGGCTCCTCCGAAGCAGTGCATGATGCCTATTATATGCTACCATAATGCAGAATTGTCACTGCTCACCTAGGAGGTCATTTCACCGCATTACTCCAAATCCCACCCATGGCAAACACCATCGCCTTGGCCGAAATTACTTCCCGGGTGAAAATGTTCCTTTTATGGACTGCTGAGCTGCAGTTGACACCTACAGCCTATTCATAGCCCGGTCTGCCATTTCAGGTGCAGGCTCAGAGTGAAATTTTGGCCCTTTGGAAGGAAAAGGCAGAACCTAAAGCCCACATATGAGCTGGGTGATGCTTCCCACATGAATCCATTCATCACGTACTTGACCATAGGACCACAATGGGCAGAAGCTGAAGTAGTGACGCACGGACTTGTTCCTTTCAAAGCAAGACTTGTTTTAGCTAAAATGTTCACGCTTAGAAGGTTAGAAAATACCATTCAAAAATCAGACACACTCTTGTACTCCATGTAAAGGTAAAAGGTTTAGTTCAGTTCAAAATTATGTTAAGGTTTTCAATTTGGCAAGGGCATCCATCTGGGGGTCCAACTTGGAGAATTTTTTGTGTTCTTATTATTTTTCCCATTTTCACCATCAAAATGAAACAAAACCAAACCATCCAACGGCCCAGTGTTCCTCTATAACTCTAGCTGGAATTTTACCCTGAAGAATCATTTTCTTTAGATTTGACAAGCTTTATGTTTCTGAATCAACTTCCAGCAAGTTTAAAAAAAAAAAAAAAAAAAAAAAAAAAAATCAAGCTTTTCCCTCCATGTCAATAAAACATTATTATTCCCAAAATAAATGCAGGTTTGCAGTAGAGACAGCCAAGACAACTCAGACCGATTCTGTTAGACAGAGAGGTAGTTCAGGTGCCAAAAGTTAGGTTTGGTTTCACATTGGGGGATGCTGATACAAGAAAAATTAATCTAATATGCTTAAAGAAAGACTACCATGATACGAAAAAGGCCATAAAATATGTGTGCTTGATATTTGTGCTCTCATTTATCAGCTCACAGCACGTGCGGCACAAAATGAAACAGCCAGCTAAAACTAAACTAGACTTACTTCACTGCCCAATTTGAGCAGGACTTCAGAAAAAAATGTAGAATAAAGAAGGAGAATTAAGTCCATTTTTTTTGAGCAACTACACATTTTGGTTCCCAAACTGAGATTCTCTAAGGGAATTTTATTTTCAAAGATGACTCGGTAATTTCTGAAAATTGTGGGTCTCAATGTGGGCAAGCAGTACCTCCAGCGACTTTTAAAAATCATATCAGAATTTTAATAGAAAGTATTAATAAAAAAACCTGCTTTGCTATGAAAACTAAGATACTATTTTTAACAAGGATAATTTTTTCAATCCAGCAATATTAGCATTTTAAGAGACTGCTTGTAAACTTCCCCACAGTTTCAAGCCACTCAAGCCAAAACCACCATGAAATATCTTAAAAAAAGAAAAAAGGAATAGGCATTAAATTTTAAGGGTTTGGATTCAGCTCTAAATACGTGTACATAATTGTACACTAGGACAGCTACAGATGTCAAAATTTCCAGCTGTAGTTACTTAGCCATCAGTTCATATTCTGATGTTCAATCTAGATTTCTTGCAATTTCTGGATTGTGAAGAATAAGATTTATATCTCAAACAAGTTAGATTTTATGGTCTTTTCATATTCTTCACAGAAATCTTTGAATACTGGTGTTTTGATCTACAGGGAATGACACATTCTGTGAAAGTTGTGTGTCGTCCCCCCCCCCCCCCC